CTGGTTGTCTCCCTGACGTGGTTGTTCAGGTGGAGGTTATCGCGGATAATTTGCTGGGCCTTCAGGTTTGTGCGAGTCAGGTAACAGGACAGCTGATCTTCCGGCTAGAACACGCCAAAGCTCGGCCTAAGTTAACCTGGTCATGACACCGCATCCTCACTCAATAACTCTGTAAGTATCCTCATGCAATAACTCTGGTATCTCCAAGGCCTTTCCCATGATGGCTGGCTCTCTCTTCCAGGAGGGGTCAGCAGGGCTGTCATACCCACTGTACACACGTGATCTGAGAGCCTGAGCAACATGCCCAAGACCAGACCAAGAACGGGATGGAATCTGGAAATCTGGAATTTAAGTTCTAGCCTACATGCCATATTCCTAATTACAGGATGGATATTCCCATTAAATCAACATGTTACATCAGAGCATTCAAACTGAGCACAGGGAAAAAAACCTCTGGAGTTAGAAGAATAAGTGCTAATCCTACAGCTAACAGCCAATTAATGGGTGAAGAAAAAAACTAGTGAAGAAAAAAAATTCTCTCGAAGAGGAAAAAACCACAAAACTCTGCAATTAACATGAAAAATTCAAAGTTTGGAAAAAACCTCACCATGTGAAGTAAAGTATTTCACTGATATTTCTGAAAAAGAGTCAACAGACTCACATTCAAAACTGTGACAATGTAGCACCATAACTCTTTAAAACTGCCACTGAATTACATATTAGTTAGAACAAAAGTCTTGTGATTTTATGTGGTTTTGATTTAGATCAGTGTTGGCTGAGTGTCAGTACAAAACCCTGAGAAATCATCTCGCTGCACTTGCAGAAAGGAACTCCATGGACCCATAACCCACAGAAAACTTAAACAACAGTTGAAAACCAAAATTCAGTAAAGAATTCTTCAATGCTTGTTATATAACTTGAGATGAATTAGATACCAAAGACAAGAAAGCTGCCTTGAAAAAGTTAATACATTGCAGGTGTGGTAAGTGAACCACTTCATAGGCCTGTACACTCCAGAAACTTAATCAATAGTAACTGTCTAACCAGGACCGCAAATTTAATAAAGTACTGTTTAGCTGGATAAAACCTGGGTTATCCATTAAACAAAGACAGATGAGATGCTCTAGTAGTAATAAAAGAAACAGAACATCTACACCATAATGCAATAAAATGGCCAGACTTCTGGGACCATCTATAAAAAATCCTGCATGTTATAGCATATATAAATGTCTGAAAATTGTTGCTTCTTTCAACATGTTTACGGAGAATAAATTCCTGATATGCTCTCAATTTTGACTCAAAATTGTTATTAGGGATGTTTGTCTAACAATTTTTTGCTGTTAAATTTAAAACACTTTGTATGAAAACCTCTCCTACATATACCAAGGCCTTCACCTGATACTACTGATACTGATACTGATACTACTTTTGCCCCATCCTGATTGTAAAAGGTTATTGCAATTCCTAGAACTTCCAGGGCAAATTAACTCCTGATACTTAACTCTGTGCTGTTTAATTACATTATACAAAAACAGCCAACGTTCCAAGATTTTCTTCAGAAAATTGAACCTCTTCTGCTTTTAAGTTACTGTTAATCGGACACCTCTCAGCTCTGTGGATAAATCCATCCTTTCTTAGTCAATACTACAAATTATCTCTAATTTCAACATTTTTAACCTTATTCCAGAGCTAAGATAAGAAGCCAGGCACTGTAAATCTCCACAATACAGGCATAATACTGGAATATTTTGTAAAACCAGCACATGAAAAATACTAGCAGCAGTATCACATTTCACAAAACTCTTGACTCCACAGGTAAAGAAAGTTCAGTTCTCAAGTGGAGAAATGAGAGTGAGAAGGTATTTGCTTTCAAAAGAACACAAGTAACTTCCATCTCGCATTGAGAGTGCTCAGAAACGTAACACCTCCAGTACAAATACACCCCAGCTGCCTTTCCCAGCCCTGACTCCCTGGCTGATGATGAGCACGGCATTCCCAGAACCACCTCCCACCCGGCTCCACGTGCACCTGATGGGTGGGATGTGCTACCTCACCTTGATCCACACGGCCTCACTGAGGAAGCTGAAGGGCACTGGAGGGTTGTCAGCTGCACGTTCCTGCAGACCAGCGAAGTCAATCGTATCCTTGGCCAGCCGGGGCGGCGTCCCAGTCTTCAGCCTGCCCACAGCAAAGCCCAGCCTCTCCAGAGTGCGGGCCAGCCCGATGGCTGGCTGGTCCCCCAGCCGCCCTGCCGGGTGCGTCTCCAGGCCGATGTGGATCACACCCCTCAGAAACGTACCGGTGGTCAGGATAACGCTCCCGGCACGGACTGTGCTCCCATCCCCTGGAACAGCACGTTTTCAGAGATGTGCACAGTTTAGTAGCAACAAAGCCCTGGAATTCTGGTGCTTCTGTCTAAAGGGAGAACTGGAGACTACCAGTGCCCACTGGGGGTTTATCTGTCTTTATTATAAAATAATACCAGCTTCTCCATAATAAAGGCATCAATAGCAATAACTACAATAAGCAGCATGTAATTATTTCTGTATATTTATTTATTAACTAAGCAAGTTATTCCTAAAAAATAAAACCACTCCTGAGAAAAACCCATATCCAGGCGTTTATTTTGGAAAGCTTGTTTATTGTAACAGCAAGGGGTAATGAAGTACAAGCCTGTTACTAAGAGGACCCCACGGTCCTGCAACACTGAGGGGAGCATACACCATTTACCAAATAAACCTCAAAACACAGTACAGAATTCAGTACCACTAGCCTGAAGAAAATTAACTTAGTTCATGTCCCAGTACACTACTAATCCAGGTATTTTTGACATTGTATTACTTTGTATTACACATATTAACCTGGTTTATTTCACTTTACCTAAACCAGCTCTGTTGGCTAATTAATCTTTCTCTCTAATGAATCAGAATAGGACAAATTCATCTTTCTCATCAGTAAATCAGAAATATTTACCCCAAAGGCTAGTTCCTAGTGTGGAGTAACTGAAGGCACTTAATGAGTTACCAGCACATACCCAGAACAACTCCTGTGACTTGACACTTCCCGGGACGGCCTGGTTCTGGCTCAGTCAAGAGAAGATCCTCCACAGATGCCTCACGAACTGTCAACAGTGGTGTGTTAAGGATTTCTTTCTGTCATGAAAGGAGTTACTGCAAAAATCTAGGAAGTTATGAGACATATAGGCAATCCCAAACCCTGCTGGTTTCTGAAACATCTATTACCCACTTCCATTCTTACCAGGTCATTTGGTAGACACTGTTACAGTACTATCCTGATTTATCAGGTAGAAGTTTTCACTCAAATAAACTAATTGATCATGAAGCCTCACCTGTATCTAAAACACCAGAGAATTTTTCAAACTGTGCTGAGCTCCAACAACTTACACTGCATCCAAGTACCAAACAGAGAAGTACCTAGGTTTGATCGGTAAATAATGAAAAACAAAACATAGCCTCTTTCTTCGTAATCCTCAGTGGCGCACCGCGCCTCCCAGCACCCGGCAGCCGGCCCCTCACCTGCATGTTCTCCTTGTAGAGGCCGCGGTCGATCTGAGCGCGGAG